GATTTACCAACCCGACACATCAAATGACTTATAGAGAGTAATAAAAAAATAAAATAATATTGTAAAAATTGAGAGGAAAAAGAAGACGAAAAATTATTTGTTTTGTTGAAAAATATTTTAAATATATGTATGAATTTATGTTTAGTTAAATTTTTTTATGAATAGTTTACAATTATATATAAAAAGTTTAAAATAAAGATGGTTATTGATATTGATAAGTTATCCAAAACAGGTACAACAGACAACATGGGAATATTTTGCAATTATTTTGGAAGATGTGATCAGTGCGTCTTATTGTGGCCTTCACCTTTGTAGTGGACACAAAGCTTTGACATCCCTTGCTCTCATTGAGACTCATCCATATTAGTATGAATTCAACTAGATTTAAGTCGACCCTTCAACTTCCTTTATAATTGTGGATTTGGCAACAATTCTTCAAAAATTGTTGATGACCCATAAGCATCGTTTGGAAGATACTTAAACTCACAACTGTATATATTGTATATAGTATGCAAGCTATAACAATCATTTGCTTTTGAGTATGGGTCTAAATTAACATTCATACATACAGTAATAGCGTGAGTTCATGGTATCTAAAGGCTTGAAATCGTCTACAATCATACCATCTTCTATTCAAATTATCAGTGTAGATGGTAGAATTTCCACCTTCATGTGGTCGAACAAGTGCTTTGACAACATAATCATAATTGAATATGGAGAAATTATGAACAAACATTGATGTTGCATGTGTTTGCTTTTTGTTCATTGCTTTCTGTAGATCTGGAGCCCAATTTCTTTCATTGTTGATCATTGCCTCTACTTGTACACCTTTGTTTGCCCATACTTTACCCAATCTGAAGTACGTCTCTTGAACAATACTTTGTACCGGAAGATGTCTAGTCCCTTTAAGTAATGAATTGATACATTCAACAAAATTGGTTGTCATATGATCGTAACGACGACACTGATCATCATATGTCTATGACTATCTTTCTCGATGTATTTTAGCTGCAAAGTTATAAACCTCTTCTCCATATTTCCTCAGTTTTTTAGCCTTGCACGAAAGTTAGGTTGTAGTAAAGGATATCCTAAAAAATGTTAGATTTTAAAAAATGATAGATTTTTCAACTCAAAAATCGCACCATTCAGAAAAATGATGAACAAACAAAGATAGATGATGGAGACCTAGAAGCATGGTTCCAATATGTAAGTGAATGACAACAAGAAAAAGCATGGAGAATTGAAGAATTCAATATTACTTCTGACGAGTCTACTGATTACGAGGATTAAAACATCGTAACGAATACTGCTATGTTTATGATTTTATTTATTGTTTAAGGTGTGTGTAAGGTTAGTTGTATTAATGTCCTTAATGTAATGTATTAAGTTTGTTGTTTTTATCTTCTTAATGTAATGTTCATGGTTCATTGTTTTTATCTCCTTAATGTAATGATTAATGGTTTAATTTAATGTTTATGGTCCATTGTTCTTTTAAACAAAATATATTACAATCTCCTTAATTTTTCTGTGATATATCAATATGACCGTTGAAACTCGTCACATTAAGAAGATAAAAACAACAAAACTAATACATTTCGTGAATGACATAAATACAATTGAATATGACTGTTGGAACTAGTCACCTCAGCATGACAAGTTCCCTTTTTTTAATATACTTTTAGAAAATTAGAAATTTGCCACATTGAGATGATCAGTTCCATATGGATTATAGCAAATGTCGTAGATACCAAAATAAACCTCTACCTGTCCTGTTTTCCCATTTTTTTTCCTCCTTACCCTGTTGGGCCAAAAAAACCAACGTTAGACTGATGAAGTGTTGATGCAGGGGGATCCGAGACAGATGATGCTGAGCTGTCAGATTGCACCTTGATGGCGCTGAGATACCATGAATTGGCAGATCAACGCAAAGACGGGAATTGATTATGACATGTTCCTCATTGGGGTCGTTTTGAGTATGTTTCAGTCTTTTGGCCATAACTTTGGCTACAGGTGTCAGAATCGAGCATAAGACCCCAATCTGGAAAGCTCTTTTCAACGCGCACGCTCTCCACATGAGCTACGCTCCATGTGACCTTTTTTCAACCTCAAATTCTTCCATTTTCCCCTCCGAATCACTAGATATAGATATTTTTTACTATTTATGGTAATATTTCGATTGTCAATTAGGAAGTCAATTTAAATCCGATTTAGGCCGGATTTTTTGGAGATTGCTTATTTTATTTCGAATTTCAATTTAGAGTGATTTTCGGGATTTTGCTATTTTTGGAAAAATTCGAATAAAGATGATTTTTGGCTATAACAGTCCGGCTTGTGGACTGATTTTAGGCATTGTTTGATTTTATAATATATTATTAAACCCTAGAGACTTTTTTTCTCTGTTTTTTTAGGCAAATTTTCTCTTGTGAATCATTTGTTGGAGCGCATGCAGGATAATCATTATTCTGTCCGGCGTCAAGTGTATTGCTCTGAATATTCACACCAATGAACTATCTTGTTTGCCTCTAGACTTAAACAAACCGACCAATAAATTTAGCAACAGGTTCTGATGGCTCAATATGTTGCTGAGCTGAACTTAATTCTCTAAGATCTTTGTTGAACGGATGCGTACTTTCATTAAACTGGACGTGTCGAGAAACATATACTTTGTGATCCCTATTCACTATTGAGACACTTGTGCCCTAATTGATTAAAACTGTATTCAAGGAAACCACAAAGATGTGATCTGTACTTTAACTTGTGTTGATTTTAAGGATTGAACACGGGAAAACATTGACGACCAAACATCTTAAAGGCATAGTCTGGTTGTTCTTTGAATAATTTCTTATGAGGAGAAAATCCTTTCAAAACCTTAGTAGCTAGGTAACCTGTTAATCATGGATTTAAATAGTGGTCGCTTAGTGAAATAATGGTTGCTATATAGCGAAAGCGGTGGCTGCCCTGTTGGAAAGTGATGTCATCAGTTATTTGCATGTTGCTCTTTATGAAAATGTACGTGACATCTGAATGTCTTTATGAGCAATCTTTTTCTTTTTAACTTTGAATGTTATCTGATTAAGTAGTTTAGGTAATTTAAATATATAAATAGTACAAAGGAGTATAATTCAAACTTAGTTCGGTTTGATTACATCTTTATATAACACCACTTTGAATAGGGTTGTTTTGAGTATCATGGAAATAATTGTTGTAAAGGTAAACCCCAATAAGAGCAGATGGAAAACATACGTTGGACTTTCAATGGATTGTTGGTTAGGAACAGGACAAAGATTGCATGCAAGAAAAATGCAGACGGTGGGGAAAGAGGGGATCACACGTTTGGCGGCAGAAGAGGTGGATCCATATCAGATTTTCGAAAAGAGCCCGACACGTCGCAATTTGCAAATTGGTTCTGGTTGGCTAACTGGTAAGGGGGAAGGGGTGTGTATCGTCTTCGTTAAACTCGCTCAAGAAATCAAAAGTGCAAGTGACATATCATTGTTGCGTGCACCCTTAAATGCTTATTATGTATCACCTCCATCACATCAAATTCACCGAAACTGCATCGATCACAAATTTAAAAATATTTTTAAAATGAGTATATATATATATATATATGCATATATTATGGTAAATTACATAATTTAATATTTTAGTTTTAGTTTTAATAATTTAATAATTATTTTTATTAAATCCTCTCTTAATTATATTTAACAATATATTTTGATTTCATTTTGGCTATCGATCATTAACAATTAACAAAATGTTGATATGATATTCTTTTTAAAATATTTTTAAAAAATTCGATCATAAATGATGTCCTCATGTTTTCTCCTTCTGGAAGACTCAGGTGGTGTATGTTTTTGCAGAGGTAAAAGGTCTGCAGTCTGTGGACTACATCTGCAGCAGAAGAGGTGGACCAAAAGTCTGCAGTCTACAAGAATAAGACTGTTTGTTTTTTAACGTCTGCAGACTGTTAAAATAAACTGAAATATAAATAAACTGATTTTTTAAACTTAAAAGTTTTGCAATACTGAAATTTAAATAATTTTAATTTTATAATACTGAAATTTAAATAATTCATACAACTACAATAATAAATTTTATAGAAAAACAAACACCACCTTATTAATTCTATTATAAGTCTCACATAATCACATGTATTATTAGTTTTATAGAATAAAATTTATAAATGATCATTAAATTATATGATTTTTTTAAATATGCAATTATGCAATACTTTTAATTTTTTAAAATATATATTCATAATTTATTTTTATAATTATATGATATTTTTAGAAAATATTTTTGAATTTATAAAAATATTTTATGATTATTTTTATTTAATTGTGATTATATTTTAAAATTTTAAAAACATAATTTATAATTTTTTTAAATTTTAAAATCTTTATTATCAAACAATGAAATCATTTTTTATTAAACAATGTGGTTTAAATACTTACATTTTGTATAAAAAGTTTAAATATAATTTAAAAATAACAAATCCAAAAAATATTTTATTTAAACTTAAATCAAAATAATTAAAATAAATATAAAATTTTAATAATATATAAAATAAATTATTCGATGTAAAATTAAATATCTCTAATATAATATTAAAAAATTAATATTTAATTTATTTAAAAAAGAAATATTAAAATTAATATCTATAATATAATATTAAAAAATTAATATTTAATTTATTTATAAAATTAATATTAAAATTAGAATCAAATATAATATAAAATTAAATATAAAACCTCTTTAAGAGGTTAGAAGACGTCTACAGACATAAGATCATATTTGCGCCGCGCAGACCACGCGTAGATGTTAGAAGACGTCTTCAGTTGCTAGTAAAGGCACTTGGGAAGCTAAGAGATGAAGCTGCCAGGTAATTTAGGTTCCCTCATCTACCTCTGATTCCTCATTGTATTTCCGTGTTTAACGTTCATATCCTTTGTTGTGTTATAAAGCAGCCCGGTAAGCAGCGATTCAAAGGAACTGCAACAAGAGATTGTTGAATGCAAGTCCCGGATTGCAGATATGCAGAAAAGACTAAAGTATACTCTTCGATTACAGCACCTATTTGACGAAATCAATGCTTAAACTAAACATGAAACTCGTTGCAGCATCTTCGAAAGTGGACCTGCAGAAATCACAACGTTGAGTCAGGCTGAGTTTCACGAGCAGATCCTCGAGGAAACACTGAAACAAGTGCGATTGCAGAAGGTGAGCCATGAGTGTATATCTATGAGTAATTCTTTAGTTATCGATGCATGAGTTACACTGAAATTTTTCTTGATTCGAACCAACAGCAAGCTTTACAGGAAAAATACACTACTTTTAAAGCCCCAGAGGCTGCAGATTTAAGTGGTTTCGTTACAGGAAGTACTTCAGATTGGATACCCCAAAAAGATCCACAAGTTCAGATCTTGAACTTTTTGGATTCAAATGGTCTTCTCCCTCAAAGGTGCTGATGGCGAAAACATGTACAGATTTTAATTGTCATAAGCATCACTGGTTTTGTTTAATTTGATCTTCAACTCTTATTTGCAGAGATCAATGTCAGTCTGTTGCTGAAAATATCTTGCCACCGCAATCCACTACTCTCCTTGATGGAGAAGAAACAATAAGTGTTTGCTATGATATCAACGTCCCGAGTTCGAACAAGTCATTGATGTCAACTTGTCCCCTTGGACTCAACTTTATCCTACAGGTATTTGTGGACCTGCAGGGTTTCTTTGAGATTTGATGTCGGTGATCTTATGAAAGGAAAAGTGACTCAAATGTAACTTTTCAAATTTGGTGAACCAAAATGCATAAATATGAAAAGAAAATAATTAATCTAATGATAGTTTACCTTGATGTCAGTGATCATATGAAAGAAAAAGTAGAAATATAATTTTTAAAATTTGATGGATAAGTATATAAATATGAAAAGAAAATGATTAATTCACTTAATGATTATACAATGAAAAATAATAAAAATGATTGAAATATAATTTTTAAATTTGATGAATAGGATATATAAATATAAAATATAATAAAAATTAATAAAATATTTCGAAATGTAACTTTTTTTAATTTGATGAATAAGAATATATATGTATGAAATGAAAACGATTAATATAATGATAAATTATTTTGATGTCAACGATCATACAAAGATCATACAAAGAAAAAAGGTGACTGATGTAACGTTTTCAAATATCGGGCTAGAGACCAAAGCGTAAGATTTTAAAACTTCGTGATCAATTTAGATAAATTGAAAAGTTCAGGGATTTAATTAAAAATTATTGGTGTAGGTTGATTAGTAATAATTGAAAGATGAAAGGGTATAATGGTCATTAAACAAAGAACTGAATTAAAATTTCATTACTGGTGTATTATAAACACGTGGATAAATAGAGAGAGGAAAATCTAGAATTCTCTCATCTTCATCTTTTCTTCCTCCTCTCTACCGTGAGTTCATACCTAAGGCGAGTTTGTCTCAAGTTGATTATTCCTTTCATTTTTAAGTTAATTCTTGGTTTTTGGGTGTTATATAAGATTAAGGAAAGATTAAAGCTATGAGATGAGTGAATTAAAGAGGAATTTGTAAAAAGGGTTTTTGATTGACTTGATCAGAAATGATTAGTAATTGAATTTGGAAATTAAATTTGACTTGTCATCAATTAGAATAAGAAGTTTAAGCTGTTCGAAAAGAATTTGGGACATGTTGACAAATTGGTATAATTTTTGGTTTCAAGTGATCATGTGGGATCTTGGATGTTTAAGTGTGTTTAAGTAATATAAGTTGGTTTTTATAAGAGTAGTCGAGTTTAAAGGCCTAAAAGTAGAGTAATGGGTTGTTTGTTTGGCTCTGAATGGAATCATTCAACACTGAATACTGAACCGTTCAACATTCAGCGTGTTTGTTTTTCATCTCTGAATGATTCAGTGCTGAATGATTTAGCAAAACAGTGCTGAATGATTCAACACAAAAGTATATTTTGAATGATTAAGAGTCATTATCAAACAACATGTCACATTCAGAGCTAATTCATACAGAGCCTCTGAATCATTCAACGCTTAATCATTCTGAAGTAAACAAACAACCCGTAAAGTGGAAAATTTAGATGAGTTTTGGTAAATTTGGGGTTGAAATGAGTAAGTTCTGAGTAAGGGGTATCGGTACTGGATGAACAATACCAATACTTCAAAGCAAAAATAGGTGAAAATTGGGTTTGAGTATTGATACTGGAAGAACAATATCGATACCATAAGATGAAATAATACGAGTCAGAATAACAGTATCGATACCGAAGGAGTAGCATCGATACTAAAGGTATTGATATTGGAAGAACAATATCGATACTATAAGAATAACAGTATCGATACCGAAGGAGTAGCATCGATACTAAAGGTATCGATACTGATGGTAAGTATCAGTACCATTTTTAGAGATGAAATTCTGGATTGTAGAATGGGTATCAATATTGAAGTATAGTATCGATACCATAGTGAGGAAGTATCGGTACTGGCATGGGTAACGATACTATTTAGAATGAAATTGTGAATTAAGTGTTTCTTTTAGCTTAAGTTATTGATGATTGATTAAAAGTGATTCGAATTCTGATATTCATGTCGATCGTATATTTGTGTAGATATCGAACTAAAGCAAGTTCCGGATGAATCGACAATATAAGATTGACCAATGAGAGATAAGAGTTTTGCTTTGACTAAGTGAGGCTAAGGTGAGTGCATACTACTATATATATTGTCTTATGGGAAGAAGACTTGCAATGAGTCTATTTCTGATAATTGATTAAAAACAATGTTCGAAAGTTTATGAAATATGATTATATGTTTATATGAATATAAGCGTAGTTTTGATTCTATTACTATGTGAACATGCATTGTTTATATTTCATGCTATGTGACATGATCTATGAGATTATATGAAAATGTGATATAAGCTATATGACATGATATATGTGATTATTTGTCTATGTGATATAAGCTATGTGAAATGGTATAAATGATAAAGCCCAAAAGTTTGTGATATGAGTGCTAAAGGTATAATTAGCATGTCAAGAGTCGAGGGTTCTAAGTGGATTCGAGATAATTCTACGTGGTCCTTCGGGACATTTCTACGCGGTCCTTCGGGACATCTCTATGTGGTCCTTTGGGACATTTCTACATGGCACATTGATACATATTCTACACGACACTTCGATGCAATTTATATGAGCAGTAGTGACTGCATTAGTGCACAACCTCAATGCACTCACATACCTTAATTTCTCAATGATATACATTGGGTTATTAAAAGAATAACATAAATGAAAGTACATGATGTTATATGTTCTTGTTTGGTGAAATGTATGATGGTTATTGTACCCTATGATGTTTATAAAAGTTAAGTATATGATTAAATGTTTTAATGTTTTATTTATTCATTATATGCCTCACTAAGTCAAAAACTTAGTGTGTGAGTGTTTCACACGTAGGTACAAAGAAACAAGAAGATCAAAGCTAGGAAAGTCAGGACAGTCTATCCTTCCTGGAGATCAAATCAGAAATGAATTGAACCGTATGTATTTTGTTATACTGAATTTGGTTGGCATGTAATTAAATGTTTGAATAGTATATGCTCTGATCAGTTTTCTAAACAAACTTTATTGTATTTATGTAAATTAGTAAGTTTATATTTTCAAATCGGGTCTGAACTTCTTTATTTACTTTTGATTAAGGGTTCCACCATTTTTATACAAATAAAAGTTTAAATTTTCAACTATTTTTTAAAAGTAAACGATTTGAAAAGTTGACGTAACACATCGGATCCGTATTCGGGTCAGATACGGATTAAGGGTGTTACATTTAATGGTATCAGAACTATGGTTTAGCCGATTCTAAGCTTAAACTGAAGCCAAATGTATTTTAAAAGTATACATGTTAAAAAAGTGAAAAATTTATAATATGATAGTGTAAGAAGTGTGTTGTCTTGCTAATAGAGTTGAATTGTTATATCTTATTAGATGTCTGACCACGAGGGCTCCCGAAGTGAAGCGGGAGATGAAGGTTATGAAGGTAGTGCAATTCACATGCCTTGGCAAGGCAAGGTGAAGAACTGGCACCTCAGGGAGTGCCTGTGCAAGATCAGGGAGTGTTTTTCAGGACGTTGAATGTTATTCTGACGTGTTTCCAACCGCATGCTCCCTCAACTCCTAAAACGAATGTAGCAAAAGAGTTTAAAGGGTTAGGAGCTCCTGAATTTAAGGGTGAAGCTGAGAAAGGTCATGTTGTTGCGGACATTTGGTTTAATGATGTTAATATCATGTTGGAGGGTCTCCACTGTTCTCAAGTGGAGAAGTTAGATTGAGTGGTCTTGTTATTACGAGGACAAGCTCAAATATGGTGGACTAATTTCACTATGAGAATGACAAGTGACCAAATGAAGTGGTCGTTATTTCTAGAAGAGTTCAAGAATAAGTACAAGGGTGATTAGTTTATTATGCAATTGAAGAAAGAATTTATGAGCTTGAAACAAGGTAATCACACCGTGTATGAGTACGAGTGCGAGTTCAATAAGCTGAGTAGATTTGTTGCTGAACTGGTTCCGACTGAAAATGGTGCCTGTGATTGGTTTATTGAGGGCTTGCGCCGCAGACTGAAAGAGCTGCTAATAGTTTTTAATCTGTCTTCATTTCAAGAAGTGGTCAATCGTGCTAAAGCTCTAGAAAGAGCTCGGAATGAGAGGTATGGATATCATAAAGCTCAGAATCCAAGAGAACTGGTGTTTCTTCGATCTCAGCACCATCAAAGAGATGTAGAGATTCTGGTTTTCGATCTCATTCAAAACCTGAATCAGCTGCATCCTCTGCCAGATGATCAAATCAGATGAGGGCTAGACAGACTCAATCAGTATGGTATAGATCTGGAAGGTCAAATCAAGGTCAATCAAGGTAGTGTCAGCATTGTGGAAAAAATCATACCGGAGTATGTTGAGTGGTCTCCGAAGCCTGTTTTAGAAGTGGGTACAACAGACATTTTATCCGGGATTATCCATTGATGATTGGTGAAGCTACACAAACCGAGCGATATATTATGGTATCTTAGAGAAGTAAAGTAAGAGATTGACGAAGGAATCGGTCCAAGTCATCCACTCAGCCTGATATGCGTTCAACTGCCTGGGTATACAACATTAAGACTAATAAAGATAGCAATGATCCAAAGATCATTGTAGGTACTTTTCAATTATTTGATAAATTTGTCTTGGTTTTGATTGACACGGGATCAACTTATTCTAATATTAGTAGCAAACCGGTGAGAGAATTGATAATCTAATTAGAAGTTAT